CCTCTTTCCATGAAGACTCTGACGCCTCTTTCGATGAGCACTCTGAAGCCTCTTTCCATGAAGACTCTGACGCCTCTTCCAATGAGGACCTCGACATTGGTACCATTAAGTTGCTAGATGCTTTTGACCAGGAAGAGCCCGACATCGCCACCGTCGAAGAAATCTGCTCCTACAGCGCTTCAGACGACCTGTTTGTTGTTAGAAACAACATTCCAGGATTCCGTAACACGTTTACTGAATCCCACAACATCCTTACCAAGATTGAAAGAAAGATCAGTGCCTCCACTTCTGGAATTCTACAACGTCGAGGTCCGCTGGATTTTCTCTCCAAGGTTCCCGTCCTTGTCGATCCTTCTCTACCTTCTGTCCTGGAAGCCAAGCGTCCGCCGTCCTGGGAGTGGTTCCAAGTTCTGCCAAACACCCTTCATCTGCCGATCGATATGCTCAAAACCCATGCCCTCATCTACGCGGTGCCTGGGAGTACGGAGCACTGTCGTTTCCTGTACGTTGGTTCCACATACTCTCCATCTCGTGGTTGCTTTCTACGAATGGGCTGCTACGATAGATTTATTGAAGCCCTGAAAGCGTTCCTCGAGGGCTTCATAACTAAGGAACAGCTTTACCATGTCACTCAGTGTACTTCGCTCGGCACCAACATCAGAAGAACCGTGGCAGAAGGTGGTATATTCAAGCGGGTCGCTGTCCTCGCTATGATTCCGATGGGAAAAACCAGCGATTTCTCTGTCGCACAAATCAGCGCCTACGTCAAGTTCCTCGAGGCCATGTTCCACACACGCCTCTGGTCTTTCCACCAATCCTCTGATGCCAATGAAAACCATTACTTGAAGCCAGCCTGTCCATGGAAACTCAAAGAATTCGATTACCGTGGTCTCAACTCTCATTCTCCTTTGATGGAGCGAACAAAGGGCCTTGAAGCGGAGCTTCCTGCCTCCGAATTTGAGAAATTCTGTGCCATGCGCATGGAAGCTCTTCGTCAGACATCATTAGCAAAAGCTAGGCTGATCACGCAAGTTCGTGATGCAATGAGAGAAGCCAAATCCACTTCGTCCGAGGCTCCATACAAAGCTCTGGCCAAGGCTTTGGGAGTTCCCCATTCTCATATCCAAGTGCTGGTTTCTCGGATCCGTACGAACGATGCCAAAATGACTGAAAAAGGACGCCGGATATCTGCCCTTCGTAGAGGTATCGAGACTGGCGAATTCAACCGGGAGAGCTTGAAACCTTCTGACCGGCTCCTTGTCGACAAGCGCGAGTCACAATTGAGTCACGAACGCAAATCCAGAGCTAAGCTTCAGGCTGTGAAAGATGGTGAGGTCGAACTGGACAGTCTAGATGCATCCGTCCTCACTCACGTCAACAAGTATGAAAAACAACTCGAATCATCCAGAATCGCGACAAAAGTGATGAATGGTGAAATCGAGCTCGCTCAAGTCGATCCAATATTACGGGGACGTGTTGAGGGTCACATGGTGAAACGCAAAGCCGAAGAGGATAAAGGCAAGGCCAGAAGGAAGCTGGAGCGGGATGCGAAACAAGAAGCGGCAGTCAAAGAGTTTCTATCCTTCACTGCATACTCAGGCATCAACAAGCAAAAATGGGGAAGGGTGATCAACATTGAGATTCAAGAGGGGCGTTGGATTGAAGCTGATCTGAATCCGAAGACCCGTGAGATTTACCGCTACTACAAAGATCGCGAAGGGAAGCAAAGAGCAACCGATCGCAAAAGAAGCAGGAAAATATCAGCCGGCAATCAGCTGGTCAAGGCAGTCAAGTCAGGCCAGCGGGACAAGGATGAATTTACAGCCGAGGAACAAGACCAATACGAAACTGCACTCAAGGCCGCGGTAACCCAGAAAAAATCCAATGAGAAGAAAAAGAAGAACAGGGCTGCACAAAAGAAGGCTGCACAACAGAAGGCTGCACAACAGAAGAAGGCTGCGCCCAAAAAGAAATCCCACGCCAAATGAATTTGGTGGCAGAAAGAATGGTTTTGACGGTGCAAAGATGTTGCCAATTCGAAAAAGAAGCAAGAAGTTAGATGTGCATTTGATGCCGTGCATTTATTATCTGGGTGATGGTGATGGTTGTTTCCAATGTAACTAGCAAAGCACAATGTGTTCGCAAAAGATTAGCATAGGTATCATGTGTAATTCTCACTCTCCAGGACCGGACAATTCCCACACTTATTCTTCGACAGTGACGCTGCTGCTACGACTGCTGATGGAGTGATAGACATGGCGGCTTTTCCACCAGCTCGAGGAGCGACCTTCCTTTTTCTTACTAGTTACATTACCCCATCCTGGCGCAAGTGGGAGGTCTGTACGAGGTTCATGGTCTATGGTTGGCCTGTGGTTCGCACATCCCGAGTTCAGGCCAGACGCTAACTACCCGAAGAGGAAGGCGAGTAGCAGATGTCGGTAGACTGGAAATCTTTGGTTTCGCGAAGACGCTACCTGAAATCAGACTCCAGTCCCGGACTTGGACTTTGAAGCACCCTGCTCGACCAGCTCTTCAGCTCAACCTTTTAACTGTCGCGTGAGCCATTTAGATGATTCCATACCTTGTCGGATTGCCACGTCGTCTTCACTTTGTCTCTCTGCGCGTTGGCATACTCGCCCGAGCTGCTTCGCCGCTAAGATACTACCATTCTCGACCAGGCGCCGGGATGGCTGCCTCTTATGTCGAGGGCAGGGTGCCCTTTTCGCACCCAAGCCTGCCCAAGCCCTGCGAGACATGGTACAAAATATACGGCGACCTCAAATCTTCCTCCACGGGGCGGCCTCTGGTGACTCTGCACGGGGGACCTGGTATGGGGTACAACTATCTGTCCAATTTACGTGGTCTCTCGGATGAATATGGCATCCCCGTGGTGTTTGTGAGTCTCTTTTCCCTCCTAACGCGATCTGTGAAGGAGGTATTCACTCCCCAGAGCTAATACCAGTCGATAGTATGACCAGTTGGGCTGTGGCCACTCCACGCATCTCCAGGAAAAGAGGCTGGACACGGACTTCTGGGTGCCGGATCTGTTCATTGCGGAATTGGACAATCTGCTGGACCATCTCGGGATTTCAGAGTTTGACTTGCTGGGCCAGAGCTGGGTGCGTTTTGTCCCTTGTTGAGCACCTTGCTCCGTCTCCTTGCAGGAGGCCGTTGAATCTCTTGACAAAGCAGCCAAGGGAAGCTAACATGTGCTTCTCTCCAGGGCGGTATGCTGTAAGTACTGCTGCAATTGTCGAAATCCTTACAATTCCTCATTTCTGTGGCCTCCCGACAACTGGTCAATGGCAACTGACGAGCCCCAGCGGTGCCATGTTCGCGATCCGAGGCAGCGCAGGGCTCAAGCGGCTCATCATTTCCAACTCCCCGGCATCGATGAAGCTCTGGGTCGAGGCGTGCAACGTCTGGCGGAGCCAACTCCCCAAGGATGTCGACGAGGCCCTGACCAAGCACGAGGCGAACCAGACGTACGACGATCCAGAGTATAAAGCCGCAGTCATAGAGTTCTACAAGCGACACGTCTGCAGAGTGTATCCCTTCCCTCAAGATCTTCTGGATACCTTTGCAAATGTGGAGGAAGATGTAAGTCTGCCGTCTGCCTGGAGCGAGAATCAATCTTGACTCTTGAGGTCCCCGCGTCAATTTACAGAACTAACGGGCACAGGATACTGTCTATATGACATTAAACGGACCTTCCGAGTACGTCAAGTTGTCCCTTGCAGGATTTTTGGGAGTTCCTTGCTGTCTACAATTCACTAAAGCATGGATCTAGGTTTACCGTGATCGGTAGTTTAAAGGACTGTGCGTGTGCCCTCCAGTTTTCCTTCGATACGAAATTCGCATGTTCTCGGTTGTATCCATCGAATCAGAACACCACTGATGGGTATCTGCAGGGTCTGTGGTGGATGAGGTGAAAAAAATAACCTGTCCTACGCTTCTCGTGAGTTAGCCCCGTGTCATATATGCTGAAGAGAACGGTCTAAACTGTGATCTGCGCAAAACCACTGCCAATTACGAGTGCTGCAGTCTGTTTTGCCCAGTATTGACGGTTTCTTTACCTGTAGCTGAGTGCCGAGTTCGACGAAGGCAGGGAGACCTGTATATGGCCATACTTCTGGGGAATCCCAAAGGTGAAATGGTACCGTTTCTCCTCTGCAAGCCACTGCACGAACCTTGAAGTCCCGGAGCAATATATGAGTGTGGTGGCGGAGTTTCTCAAGAGTGCGTTGGAGTGATCGGTGCTGCACAGCCAGTTGCTCTCGGTCGCGGACGACTTGAAAACGTGGTGTAACGGTAAGCGTCCTCACTTGCCAGATTCGACGGATAGCTCAATCGATGAAGATTTCAGTGGCGTCACTGCCACAACTCGCGTGCTGGCCATCCTGTTGCCATTGGAATGGAATCTGCTTTTCCAGTTGGCAGCGTTGCCAAAATGGTAGTCAAAATTTCTATAGTCAGGACTTCGCCGTGACTATGGTCTGACTAGCCAAGGGCTTGACAAAAAAGCGCCGCAGTGTGATTAGGTGGAAGATATTTTTCCGTATGCCTGTAGACAGCATCTTTGGCTTTCCTAATTAGGTATAACGCGGGTAATTTCTCTTCTGTATACACTAGTCTATAAATGGCTACGTATATTTATTAGTAATCCACCGGTTGAATGACAAGACTAGTGACCATCATTTTAGCAACGCTGGCTGTTCCCTCCTGAATTGCATCTATCGTAGAAGCTCTGGATCGAACCTCTGACTCGGGACTGGCTGGCTCCTTTTCAGTTATATCCGTTTCAACAGCTCTGCATCAGGTCGTTGTTGGCTGGCTGCTAGCCCATTAGCCATCACTCGCGAACGAAACATGGAAGAGGAGGAGGAGCTCGGCCTTACTATCTGACTCTCCCACAGCAGCTCGATCGATAATTGTAGAGTCCGTTGCTGCCTCGAGCTGCAGTTCTCCCCTGAATTGCATCTGTCGTAGAAGCTCTAGGCCGAACCCCTGACTTAGGCCTGGCTGGCTCTTTTTCAGTTGCATCCGTTTCAACAGCTCTGCATCAGGTCGCTGTTGGCTGGCTGTTGGTGCATCGGCTGACTCTCTCTGGTGTGCATCTTCTAAACGGTTGATTTCTTCAAGCTCCTGTTCCTCTTCTGTGTGTGGTTCCTGTGTGGTCTGGCTGGGAGATTTAGTAGAAGCCGATTCGGTATCTTGTCCAGCCCCAAAGACGAATTCAGCGCCGTCATCCTCTTCGCTTTCATCATGTTCGTGTTGTTCACGCTCAAGCTCTGCTTCTGCATTAGTACTGCGGACTGACAAGTGGCCCAGCTTCAATCCCCCGGATTACAACTCTATTTCCATACACCTTCTTGATGCCTCTACAACCCACTGAACTCGGCTGCAGACCTTCTCACTCTCTCACTCAGCCAACAGAACCCTCGTCAAGCGCCCAACGGACTTTCGGAAACCTCTAAAACCGCGACCCACCCACGAGTCGAATCAATCCTTTCTCGGTCTTGACCGTTTGTTACAAAATGACAGACCTTCAACTGCCTCTAAATCGCGAGATCATCCATTCATCTATTCATTGCTCCCATCTCGTGATATCGCAACATATAAGATTGACAGTCCTCTCCGGAACAAGCTGAGTTGGGGAATTTTATCCACAGGGGACTTGAGAGGGCCAACCTGCAGAAAAAGATAATACTTGGTTGCATGAACTAGAGCAAAAAGCACTGATAGGATAGCGAAAACAGCAGGAGGTGACTCGCCAAAACAAGGAGGGTGCTCTGAAACGGACGATCTCATGCAGACTGATGACGAGAAGAAACACTCGATGGTAAAAAGAGAATCGGGCCTAACAACGGTTATGATCAATCTGACGAGGAGTGGAAGTAAGCAGGGGTCGATGGGACTTCAGCCGACCTTCACACCGCGCTCTTACGCCAGGTAGTCCTCCAGACCCTGCGCGTCGCTGGCTTCAGTCCCGCGCGACCTGTTGTGATCGATAGGACTTCAGCCGACCCTGGCAGTCCTCCAGATCCTACGCGCCGCTGGCTTCAGTTACGCGCGACCTGTTGTGATCGATACCGTCACGGATCTCGCAGCTCGCTCTCGTCTCTTACTGGCGTCATCACCGCTCAAAACGCGTTTAATACGTATAATACCTTCGCGTCGACTGTTCAGGACGTGAGACTTACGCTGACCTAGGCCGGGGCATTAGCGCCGCAGAGGAACACCGTAGAGGAGATTGCGGCGGGCTTAGATGAGCAGAAAGAATTATGTTTCTGGTAAGTTCCCAGCTTGATTATTCTTTTAGAATCACAAAGAAGTCTATTGTGGAGGGGATGGTTCTCCGTTTACACCTGTGGTCAGTGCAGGAGATGGAGCCCAGAAGGGTGTACCGAGTCCTCCATACAAAGAAACAAGAGCCTGGGACGGAGAGCTGGTTCGATGTAACAGAAAATTGGAAGATCGACGATGGTCTAATCTTTCAACGGAACCAGGTCTATCGAACCCTCTTACCTGTCGATCGGGCCGTTGGCTTTCGCCTTGATGCTGATGCTGGACCGCAAACAAAAGCTTTGCCTGACTGCGAAGCGGGCGGGAGTGCCGGGGCGGGAGCTGTGATGAGGATTTGAAACCCAACGGAGCGAGAGGTGATGTGGAAAAACGAAAGGATTCAGAAAGTGATGGACATGCACCAGGATTGTGGTCGTGAAGGAGGAAGCTGGAATGTTGACGCATTACATTTGGAGGATGAGCGCCCATTCTCGGAAATGTTTCCAGAAACAGACTCTCAGTACAGTCGCGTCTTCCTTCAGGAGACCACCTACCACCTGTCACTTGTCGCCTGCGGGCATCTGTTCGCCGTCAAATCCACCAAACCAAGCGCTCGAAGCTCTACGAGGTCCTCGGTACTCGACGGCCAATACTGCCGATGGGCGACAAGGGGGACGGATTCTGTAGGTTATATACCCAAGGAACCGCCGAAGGAAGATATGTTGATCCTTCATTGATACTTGCATCTACTCGAAGCCTCCGGATAACTTGTCCAAGGATAGCGGCGGAGTTTTGTTCCAACGTCAGGTCTGGTCGAGTTCCGTTTTGGGTAGACAAGAAATCTCATTTGTTCTTCTGGAAGGATCCCCAGGTAACGGAAGTAGGCCGTCTCTACCTGGGCGAGTATTCGTTCTATTTGTACGACGTTGATGAGGCTGGTGTCAAAGCTCGCGCAAACCCTCAAGCACCGAACTCGACGAGAGCATACCCAACACCAGGAAGCATGAGCAGCACCAAAGTTGTTGCTGTAATCATCCAGGCAATATCGCCGGTATTGTAATAGACATTGAGATCATCGGTGAGAGAGTCTCCGGCAGTTATTGTCGTTCCTACGGCGACGAGATTCCGTTAGTTGAAGCTACTTTCTCGACACACATACCTAGGCAGCTATCTACGTGTACGAAGAAAGGGATACATCTCGTACCATTGCAGACCTCTAGAGGAACGTAGGGAATTGATCCCAAATCCGCTCTCAGTATTTACTTCCCTATCGTCCTTGACAACAATTCCTCTCAGGATCCGCAGCCATGGACCACTTCACGGTCATGATCCTTTCCTAGCAGAGTTCGATGAAAAGGGAAATCCACCCGCATATGATATGTGGTTGCCATTGCCCAGGCTCTCGGCGCTTGGCTCATTATAATAGTCTGCTGGTGCCGCAGGAAGCATCAGCACGAGGCAGACAGCAGGGCTGGCGTGATGTATAGTTCACGAGGTTACAGGCCGGTCCCTTGTCGACCCGTCAGCTCGGTCCGATCGCTGCCATAGACATCTACCTGTTCTCTGACCACAGATTGGGCAGCAGCCACTATCTATTCCAGCGTTGGAAAGGTGGATGTATCCTCAACTTTCACCGGTAAACGCCCTTGCCACAACAGGCAGTGGGTAAGTGGATACTGTAAGCGGTGTGAGTAGTGAGATCGATTTGCCGATCCCGCCCAGGAGACCTGACCATTCGCCCACTGATCACGCTCCTCCACACTGTTCAAAGACTCATTGAGGCGACCAGATACACTCGTAAACACTACTGCGTCAACCCTCTCTCATGAGTACCTAGTCAAGTTTGTCTAGTCCACATGTTTGTTGCAGGATGTGAGGGAGACACGACGAGATGGCAGGAAGCTGGCAGCACGGTGCTGCTAGTCTTTGACCCTGTGGCCGGTTCAATTTTGCCAACGCATAAAGCATTTGCCCACGCCAGTCTGTACCACAGAATCTTCATATCTCAGATAGGTGTCTACGTCAAGTTCCCGTGGATGATCACAATCGCCGGGCATCAAAGAGAATACTACCCAAACATGGGTGAAGACTTAAATTCCCAGGGTTCCCGGCCTATACGTCTCCTCGCCCGGCACTATCTACACTGGCCAAGTGGCTGTTCACCATCAACTGTGTTCGTGGCTTGACTTGTACAGCAGAATACGGTTATAGGAACAAGAAAGTGGAGTTAAGTTTTTCTGTCATTGAAATTCTTGGTATGGATTACCGGCAGGACTAATAATTTTGGTGAGACCATCATGATCCACAGACTGTTGCATTCACTGCGCCACGATCCCGTCGTTGCATGTGCTGTATGTGCCGAATGCCACAACCTATGACAGACTAGTCTCAGAGAATGCAGATTCCAGCTCCTTGGAACGCTGCTCCGAATCCTTGTTCCAAAGTAGGTACTGATTGAAATGGTGAATGACTTCAGGATATGGGTTGTTTAGCAGAAGCTTGGATTTGCACCGCGCTGTTCTGTGATGTTCGTGGTAGCTGCAAATTGGTTTCTCCTCGCGATAGACGTAGTCGGTAAAGTACGGAATTGAGCTGGCGACGGCGTCTAGTAAATATTCGATGTCGGGCCCCCCCTCCTCTTTAACGCTGTCGAAATGGGGCTCGTAATGCACGAGGAGATGTGGCTCGCGAGCGGCATACACCATGTATTTGTGCAAGAACTTCATCAATTTCCTGTTCTCTGAATTGCAGAGAAGTCGTCGTCCGGTGAGCCAGGCGTCATAACTGACTGCGCCTGCACAATGGAAATTGCGAAGCGAGTCCATGATGGCATTGCAGCAAGCTTCCATATCATATTGATCTGCGAAGATGTATGCACGAACAAGGGTTTCGACTTTCCATCGATCGGACTTGACTGCCTTGTGAATCTCGTCCAGGTTCTTTTCAACGTCGTCAGGTTCAGATATTTCGAAGTATTCGAATGTGAAACTCGGACCATATCCTGGTACCGATTTCAACTCCACTGGAAAAATGTGGACAGATTCCGTGTACAGAAAGTCAAGGATTACGGCGAATGCGTGGGGATCGGTCTCGGGGAGTTTGATTTCACATGTCTGGGATTCGAGCCAAGGTCCATTCACCATAACGTCGAAAGGGCGCATTTTCGTGAGAGTTCCTGAGTGAACCTGAAATTTTTGTGGCGGAACTCCGACGAGAACAGTGATGGTTTCGGACGTAAATCGGCTGAAGTAGAACGAAAGGCCGGCGACTAGTATGAAAGGGTCAGCGTTGTTGCCTCACGTACATACTTTGGAGATACGAACCTCCCGGTAACTGCTGATAACTACCGTCGACCTTGTCCCCAGGGACGGCGAGTCGATGATCTGTCGGGCGCAATCCATTCATTGCTTCTGGAAACTTATTGGGAGAAAGACAGACAGGTGCTGAAACCTTGTTGTTGGTGCAAGTGGGTTTTTGAGAAAGAGGGCCAGGCCGTTCCCGAAGTAATTGGCGGTCTGAAGGAGGAGGAGGGTGAGGGACCAAATAAAATTTCTGCTTTATCACTTTCGATTCACTTGAAGGTGGTTGAAATAAACGCTGGGATCTAAGTCCCGCCACAATAGGGCCCGCCAAGGTCACCTTGCGGATTCCGCCATTTGTACGGTGTCGACTGCAGAAGAGTCTGATAAAGAGGATCTGAGAAGAGTGATAAGTATAGGGAGGATAGCGATGATGGTGATCAGGGAGGCTGACAGTGGTGTCGCTCGGGACTAAGATAATTCACGGGTTAAAGAGTTCTGGCATGTATGTAGGTATCATGAGGTGAGGTGAGGTGAGTAGATAAAATCTTGAAAATGGTATGTTCATCCGGCTCGACGTCCGGCAGTATGGATGGCGACTCTGTCCAATCCTACTGAGATCCGACTGGTGGTGTCGTGGTTATCATAGGTGCGAGGGATTCAGGCACCATGGAATTGAAATGAGTTGAAATGTGCCTTCGAATTGAAAAGTGTGTTATTGATGTTGAATGAATGAACACGAGGCTCCAAGTTCCGCCACGACGGAGCTCGCCAAGGTCACCTCCTGGATCCCGCCGTTTTGTACGTGGTCGGCTGTGGACGAGATCGATAAAGGAGGTTTGAGAAGTGCGGTGAGCAGGGTGACGTTGGTGAGATATTCTCCGCTTTCGACAATAATGGGACAGTAGGAGGGTGATCGCGGCCGAGGGCGTCTGGTATAACTAGTCCAAGATGAACGCAAGAGATGACAGAGTGGATTTTGATGTGAGATGACACTTTAAACTGAATGGCCACTTTACTACTCTTGTTCTTGAATTTGAATGTACCCATTTTTCTGAAATCGAGAGTCGACATGTTTGCTAACGTCTCGGTTTGGACTATCCGATTCTCTTGCTGCAACCCCATCGATAATCGTAGCGTCTGTTGCTACCTCCAGCTGCTGTTCCCTCTTCATGGGAGCTTGAAAGCTGTATGATCCTCGGTGAGCATTTTCCGGGGGGGCCAAGAAATCGGAATCCCCACACCCACCAAGGTGCGCGACAATCTGTGGGGACGATGTTGGGCCATCGCAGTGACGACCCACCTAGTCTGTACCTATATCTACCACTGTTAAACCCCATCTTCCTTACCACCACCATAGTGCCATACAGCATGATACCACGATACCAGTTATGTCAGTCATCACGGAGTGGTCCAGTGAGCACAGGAAGGAGCGGCTGACGGAGCGGGCGGAAGAGAAGGCCAGGAAGAAACAAGTTCGATTTGCGGACGTTGGGCCACGGCTTGCATAGAAGAAGCAACCCAAGAGTAAGGTGAACATGATCGAGAACCGCCCCAAGCTTATGCGGGCCACCGAAAGAAGATTATCGAAAAGCTCAGTCCTCCAAAGCGAAATTGGTGGACTGTGATGTCTTGACAAGATAGGAAAGCCGATCCATAAGGGCCGGGCTAAATGGCTGTCAGGACACGCCGACGAATTGGCACAATCCTTCAGCTGTGAGTGATTATCGCAAATATGTTGCGTCGGCCACGGTGTCTGCCAAGGAGCTCAGACATGTGACCATATCAATAGTCTTATCTTCCAGCTCAGACACGCGACCGCACCTCCTCTTTCAGCTCAAAGAAGTCGCAACATTCGATACTGAATAGTCAAATTTGAGAGTGCAGCGGTGTATCTGCCGAGCGCTTCTCCCGGGGTTGATAGGCTTCTCACTCAAGCCACGGACTCCATGGACGGTGACGGAAACCTACACTTGACCAGCCAAGTAGCAACCCAAATCTAGCTGTCGACGGCGGGGATGGAGATCCTTTTGTTGAAGAAAAAAAAGACTCTCCTGAGGTTAGAAGGCCCTTCTTCTGGTGTCGGAAGATGATCGTCGAGATCGCGGATTTCTTCTCGGTTGGCTCATTTTCATACACATATTTGAAGCTGAGGTCGGTTTATAATTGAGACAGGAGAGAGAGCCTGGATATTACTGCCACGCCATCGCTGTAGAGGCCCATGAATGTCAACCCTGTCGAAAGCATCCGTGTGAGAGTATTGTAGGTGTGGTGTTGATGCGCGTCAAGGCCATGAGTAAACTCAGCAAGACATTCGAGTCTCCTTGTGCCTCCAAGGTCAACAAAAAGGAGTAAGCAGGGAAAGGACTTCTGGACCGCGAGAGCAAATGCCATCCCACGGGCGGCATGCATGAGATTGATCAGAGAGACATGGTCGACAAGTGAAGTCACCATCATCGCTAACAAGAGTGTCTCGCATTGCTGTCAAATGTCGTCCAGGAGTGCCATTGTACCTCGAAACACATCAGGCATCTTAGCTTCTGAAACCCATGTGTGATTCGCAGCGGGCTCGCTCCTGAACCAATAATCTCTCTGAGTTCTAGCGCTGGCAATTTCCGGGCCCGGTGCACTGCCTGGAGATTAAAGTCCCTTTGTGTACCTCGTACTCGGCACCTGGACTCGCTATACCCTCGCATCTGTCGAAATATTGTACCGTCACACTGCGGTCCCCGATCCTTCCTTGCAACAGCATGACGCAGATGAATCGTCGCCGTAAAGTCTTCGCTGCACTTCCCAACCTCGGTAATAACGTGACAACAGGGCCGACTGACGAGCGATATAGCCTTCCGTGTGTGATCCACACTTAACGGCAACGGATCCGGGCACCCTCATTGAGAGGGTTAGGTGTCAGCCCATGTAAAAGCCTCATTATTTTCTGGCAGGCTGCCGGTCCATTCTTCTTGAGACCCTGACGGTAAAACCGGTAGCTTCCATAGTGTCTGTACTTGTAGACATCGTGGCTGCCCTATTGCGACCGTGGGGACAGGTGGCCATAACATATTTTCTTGTACTTCGTCTTCATTTCCGCTTTTGATTCAGAGTCATTGATCACCACACTAGAGACTGGCGGAAAGCCATCCATGATGGCTCGATCCTCAAATATCTTTCAATAGTCGTCGAGGCTCTTGGGCGCTAGAGCTCCTCGGCCGCTGCCCCCAGAGGCAGGGCCATTGTTTCTGCCTCAGTTGGGGCATCCTCCACCCTAGCCACCACCGCGTGGTTTCTAGTTGGTATTTGCGCCCGTCTGGCCACCACCGCGTGTTTTCGAGTTGGTATTTGCGCCTTGATTATTCTCCCGCATTCTTAGATAAGTTTGGATTGTTGCTGTTATTGAAGTGGGCTTTGCTTTATTGGTTGCGTGTGTAAACTGCCCTTCCCTAGGAATGTAATCATCGTCGCCTCTATCGCTTCCAGTGGTGATCCGTACATAGGAATATCTATTCCGCAAGTTAGATTTACCGGGAGTATATTCCCCCTTGTCTGCTTGGGTGATATTGGCAAAATGTCTCCGTTGGTTGCCTCCTGGTTGATATTGGTTTCCAGAGTGGTCATCTTTGATTTTCAACATGACTTTAGCGGCCAGTATGGTTCTGAATATGGAGGCTTTGTCTGGAGAGACAGATTGATATGTCTGTATTCTGGCTGCGTCAATTCGCTACCTCCCAACAGTTGATGTGTATCCAGCGACCAAGGGGCTTTCCCAAGCGTCATTTGAATCCAGGGCCCCTTTCCTTGTTCGGCGTTCCACAAGACGAAACGCTGGAGTGTGCCGGTCAATTGTGGTCAGTGTCTCAGATCTTTGTCTAGGACAATTCTCTTTTCCTTTGCTTTGAAGCTTAAGATCGGGTCCAGAAGATCCCGTCTTGATCGGCTCGGCCCTGATGGACTCAGCTTTCCTCGTGCGTCGAAGCCATGTACGACGGTGAGACCTTGCCGATTATATAATTTAAATAGTGTCGAAAATTATATCTTCCCCCATCCATCTTCATGCTGCTGTTGTTTGCTGACAGATTGGAAGGTGACGTCAGTTCTGATGTGCTCGAGTTTGGTCAAGGCTTGTAAAACGATTGTTGGGGCGCATTTAGCATGCGTGCGTCTTGACGTGTTCTTGTGCAATATCCAAAGGATCCTCAATGCTATGCGCTGGATCGTCATCGTCAGAGAACAGGCCATTGTTTGATATTGTCGGCGTCGGCGTCGGCGTCAGACAATGTCTTACTTTGCTCTGAAACTGAGCAATCGGTAGAAACCCGCCTCGCCGAAATGCTTCCTTTCCGAGCTGTCTCCTCCGCTCAGTTCTGGAAGTTATCAAGGAGAGAATTAGCGAATCCAAATTCTGCCTGTCTTGTACGTTCGAAGAGCAGGGCCGAGGCACTGTGGATTGGATCTGGAAGCAGTCTCTTGTGCCGCCAAACGCGTCGTTTTCTGCTCGTAACATGATCAGCATCTGGAGTTCGAAAGTGCACTCTGACGCAGACTGACCCGATTTCCGATCAGTCGCCGATAGGATTTGATGAGGGAACGGTGAGAGAAGTTTACATTCTTGGCGTGAAGCCGAGTCATACGAACGGTTCGTTGCCCTGTACCGAGTACAAAACTGGGGGACTGAACTTCTCGCTCGCTATCGTCGTGTTACATATATGCAGTTCAGCCACCAAACGCCTGAGGTTTCCAGTTCCTGGCATGTCTGAAGTGACAAGAAAATTCTGCTGGTTGCGATACGTATCTTTGTCGGCGTCCCGGTGGCGCTCAATTGTAGCCCAAGCTACTTCTGGTGGCCCAGACGCAATAGGTGGCAGGATGTCGATATCCAAGGTTCCGGTGAGCGTCACCAATTGTAGCCACGGACAGATGAGTAGTCTGCGCTACTATTCGATGAACAATCAGCCAGGGTTATTAGACAAGACTTCACAGTCAGATGGGCGGATGCTTTGTCCCCCTCGTTGAAGTTTTCTTGACATTCTCTTCTGACCTTGAATACATAGTTTTAGTTCTGCTCCTTTCTCTGTGCTCCAGGAGTCTTGCGCGCATCTGGGTTTTTGGTCTTCTGTGTCTCCCACAGCTGACTCGACCCGTGCACTACATCCGAGCGTAGCAGGGTACCGATCCCAGCTAGCGAAGGACACTCTTAACGGTGTCTTTACTCCACAGCTCTGCTGTGTGCTTCTATGTCAAGAGAGGGAGACAAGAGGACAATCCTTCTTGATTTCGCCGGCCACAGTTTCGAAGCCCAGTTGCCTTTTCTTCGTGCTGAGAGAACGCTCTTGGACATTACCATCCCCGGTTGCGATCATGGAATTCGAGGCCGCATGGCTATGGCGCTGTGTGACTCGTGGAAGCCGCGATTGATGAGGGGATGGCAACTCAATTGCTTGGGTGGGCGACGTGGCACTCTTCGGTCGCGGTGGGAACAGAATTCCACTGCGAAAGAAACCTTTGAGCAGTATGTATCGAACATGCGCAAACAAGCAAAGCAGTATCTCAATACCATACGTGGTTGCAACTGTCGGGTTACCACAGCCACTGGATGAAAACCGTGGTATGTTGATGCCTCACCTCTCTCTTCCGGTCCCTGTGATTTTATGCAGGTACGCCTTGTAGAGATGCGCTTCCAGATCTTGGCTGCCCAGCTGTCCAAGTCTAACATCAATCAGAATTGTTGAAATGCCACGGATGGTGTCTTATAGTTGCACTCGAGCGGGAGCATGGGGCGGTGCTGCTAGCATCTTCGCATCGCGATAAGAATTGTTCTCGAGTTTGACGTTACTCGTAGTCCGCGAGGTTTGACGAAGCTCGAATCCATAGCCGTCAGAGACCGTGAATTAAGATCAGCGCCAAGAGCCCAGTCGGACTCTTCTGGGCGGAATTGAGAAGAGCCGGGGTCAGTCCCGCGGGATAAGGACGGTCCTTCGATTCGATCCTGTGATCTGAAGCTGTCGTACACTGGGGACTGAGATCAGCGCCGAGAGTCCAGTCGAACTCTTCTGCACGAAAAAGCTAGCACCCCCGGAGTCAAATGCCTCATCCGGAATTCTCTCGCAGTCTCGTTCAGGTGTCCCCCCAGCAGGAGGTTGCTGTTCACCAGCCGGTCGTGATCTCTCCTTTATTCGGTGTTTCCATAGCTCTCTTCAATCGTTTTAGATAAAGCCAACAGAGAGCAGCAACGAGATCCTGAATGCAAGAAGCATCCGGCGACTCTCTCTTTGTGGAAGCGAGAAGAGTTCCACTCTGAGTACGCTGCTACGATTCGAAAACCGAAAGTACTTCTATGCTACGTCACCGTCCGGCCAGCGACTCTCGACCGAGGAGCTGTTGCAACGTATCACCACAGATAGATTACTCGACGAATTCTATACTAGATGGACCAATTTTCAGCTACCAGACAGATTCACCGCAGCAGTTCTCTTAGGACCTGGAATTCTCAAGATAATTTGGCACGGCTTGTATGCGGATGAGGTTCTCGCGCTGGGAGGCGTTTTACCAGTGCGTTTACAATCGTGGTAACACACCATGGATGATCCCACTTAGGTCATTAATGATATCATCGTTGGATTGAGGGCCAAACGAACTTGGGTGTGAAGCGGTTGATGCATTAGCTGCTATCGGGCTCGATATGGCGTGGCGATCCCACCCACCTCGCCACTTCATCGAGTGGGCGCCGAATAGAGTTACCGTCGGCTAGGCTATCCGATGCATTCTGAGATTGGTCAATGCTCCGGTGGGGTATCCCTTGCGACGGAGTTATCGTTTGATCGTGGCGGTACGTGTGACATACGAGCGGGCTTTGCACCGCGTCCATGGGCAGCATTAGCATTATTACTGAAGGCGGCGACAACGATAATTCCACCATTGTTTGAACCTCTGGACGAAGCTTGTCCTCCGCCATACCCACAATAACGAAAGCGGGTGACCCTCGGGCGTCAAAGGAGCTTCTGATTCAAACAGCGTTTGCATTCGTTGGAACCGCTTGTCAACTACGTTGACTTGTGAATGGGTTGTTGGTCTTGGGCCCCTATCCTGCTGCGACTGCATTTCGTAGAAAACAGCGAGACTGCCATGCGGTGGGGTGCGAAAATTGTGATTCTGGCTCGATGTGGCCTGCGCCCTGCTGATTTGAATTGGTCGGACGTCGATAAGATCCGATTGTTGACGAAATCATCTGCAACTGCATGAAACATCCGATCTAGAGTCAGCGCACCTCGTACTTGGTACAGTGTCTGCTTCAGAATCAACTATAACTTACTTCTTCGGCTCTAGAGTCGAACTGCTTATATGGGCCTATGCCGCAGACTTCGCGCGCTGGTTCGGCGGTCAACGCCACCTGGGCTCGCTGGGTTTTATCGGTCGCTCGAGCGGGGTCCCATAGGCACTGTGGGCATTAGGGGCAAAGATGTATGTAACAGGGCCGTATGGATCCAGGTATCTAAAGGAGAGAGTTGTGTCTGACAGCTAAGTAGCGCGTAAGAGAAGCAAAGACGCTAACGCCCTAACAGCACCCGGTGGCGGCGCCGGCGCTCGGCCTACCTAAAGGCAACTCATACTTAGCCTCACCCACGTGCTCAATTGCCTAACTGGTATTACAATGCTTTCTCTGATCTCCTATTTCATGCTTGCTGTTCAACAAATCATCCAGATTATCTCCATTCCAGTTGTTGTCGGGCTTGTTCTTACCTTCTACTTCGTACGCGCGCTCAATCCAGCTCAGCCCGACAGACGCGATTGTACACCTTCTTTCTTTCATCATTCTCAGTAACTTTGGGAAATTGTCGGCAAGGGGACGAGGTGGCCAGACTTCTCTTCCATCTCACTCCAGGGGTCGTGGCAGTGGCATTAGTGGAGTCGGGAATCGAGTTGGTAGTCCTCGTGGTGGTCGAGGTTGCGGCGTTGGTGGCCCTTAATGGAGAGGCGCAAACGCTCCCAATGTCTCCTCGTAAGAAATCCCATTGATGCCCCGGCGCCTTTTCCAAGAATAAAGAACTGACTGCTTCACCACCCTACAGTTACAGTCCCGGTGATGTTGCCCAGCTTGACGTCAAGGCCATGGAGCTTGAGGACAACATCGAGAAACACGTTCTGAGATCATCCCGCCCCGGTCCAAGTCTCCCCATCCCTCTGGGATTTGATATAGGGGGCCGCAAAATCTTACTTTACATAAACCACATGGGTATCGATTGGGGAACGTGGTGCTCTACAGCTACGATCTCAATTTCCCAGAAGAGACGGCCTTAAAAGGGTTGATCAGCAAGAGACACAAGGAACGCTTGGGCTCATTGTTGCTGGAAGAGAATTTCCCTCGAAGCCGTTCAGGTATTGCGACAGACTTCAAATCTATACTCATCAACAACACGCGTCCAGATCTGCCATAACATGCCTACAGGGTTGCCCTTAGAAGAGAAGGTGAAGACGTGCCTGCTGCAAACGCCAGACGCTTTGGGATTCATGTGCTTCCTGTTGGTACGAACATTGTCTCTCAACTTCTCACAAATCTGGAATCAGCCAACGCTAATGAAGTCTTCGGCTCCAAGGAAACAGCTATTCAAGCCTTGAACATCGTCATGGGCCACAATCTTCGGGTGTCTTCATAAATTGCGTCGATCGGAAGGGATCAACACTGTCCCAAACCGCCTCAGCTGTCTGAGAGAGTCGATCTTGGTGCCGGACTGTCAGCGATTCGCGGATTCTGCGTGAGTGTCAGAGCGGCGACAGGACGTATTTTGATGAACATGCAAGTCAAAAACAATCCGTTCTACAACCCCGGCCCCCTCGTACAGCTAATGGAGGACTTCGGGGCTATGCGCGGTTTCAATATGCACGGACTCGAGAACTTTCTCGATAGACTCATTGTCCATACCACTCACACCGCCCGTAGCAGTACCGGCCAACTCATTACAAAACTCCGGGTCATCTATGGGCTTGCCACAGTAGAAGACAGGGGGAAAGCTTCCCCATCCGCCCGGTGTCTCCCACTATGGTGCTGGAGCAAGCAAAATACAGTTCTGGTTTGAGAATGAGGAGAAATACATCACTGTGTTCGACTTCTTCAACGAGAGGTACAACGTCACACTTAAGTATCCTGACATGCCAGTTCTCAATGTCGGCAGTAAGCAACAGCCAGTGTATTTACCTGCGGAAGTATGTCAGACTCCATCGGGGCAAGCGTTCAAGCACACATTGTCAAGTATTTCATCATCGATTCCACTAGCTATCCATCTCTCGTATTCTGGAGAATCTGCCTGCTCTATGTACAGGAACTTTTCTTTTCTGACTATTTGTTTGTGCTGCCTTCCTCACTCCAAGCTCACGGTGGTATTTTTCATTCGCACTTTTGATTGACTTTGCCTGCGCTGCCTTCCCTCAATGCTGTGCTCAAGCGGTGCGTTTCTTTCCAAACTACCAGGCCCAGGGTGGATTGGAAAGCGGCATGGTATTCCAGTCATTCAGGTCAACCTCCTGTCCTTGATTCTGAATCTTGTCTTCAGCATTCTTGGTTTCCTTCTCATCATGAACCTGGTCTTCAGCATTCTCGATTTCCTTCATCTCTTCCTCAAGCAAAGCTGCTTCTTCCTCGTCCTTAGATGTAAGGGGTCCAGGTTCGTCTTGTGGTGCGTCCCAGCCGTCGCCTCCAGGTAAGGTTGCCGTTTCTGAGCTAAAGTCGACCATGTTTTCTTCGAAGAAAGGGCATTTGATTGGGTTCTCGGCTTGGTCATTTGCTGTGATTGCGTGTCTAAGACCGGACTTCATGTACGACTTGACAACTCTCATGATGCGATTAGATTTGGTTTTGTTGATCGCGTCTTTGTCGATGATGTAGTAGAAGCCATATCTAGCACGAGTATGAGCAACGTTAAGGCGATTGAGTTCATTCAAGAAGCCTCCTCTTCCACGAACAGGCATGTCGGTAATTACAAAGTCGCACTCCACGCCCTGGATTCTGTCGACCTTGTCAATGTAGATCTTGTCATATTTCTCGTCAGTGAGCCTCAACCGGTCGAAGGCGGCGAGATAGAGAAGGTACTGTGCGCCATAGTAAACGAAGATGCTGACTGATTTATCGGGAAATCTGTCCACAAGATCCTTTGCGAGGTTGATACCGTACTTGACGAAGACTTCATTGTATCGAGACTTTGTTGGGGATTCACTGGTGGTAGTTCCTTGGATATCAATGAGAATTGCGGTGCGTTCACGGCCAAACCTCTCCTTATTCCAGGCACGAACGTCTCGAGTGAACGGACGATGCTCTAGGTTGACAGACTCATGGTTTGTGAGCTTGCCTCCGTATGAGAGCTCGTTTGGAGGGCCGGCGATGTCACGGTCCATGCGATGTTGAACAGTGAGCATGGCGGAGGGGGCACCACCTGAGACCCAACGATACATGAGAGAGCGAAAGAGTTGAGCAATGAAGTGTCCGTCCTCGGGAGAAGCTGCAACAAAGGTCCGCAGTTGCTGAATGTCACCAATCTGAACGAACCCAGTTGCCTGAGGGTAATTTGCGCGAAGGGAAAGAGCTTCAGATTGTTCGGTGCGAGCGGCTTCCTCAAGAATGACCAGTTTGACAACGTCACTGCAGGCGCTTGCATATTTGTACTGTATGGCAAGAGAAGCAGTCGTGCAGATGATGGTTGCATTGTGGATGACATGGTTCATAAGCCTCTTGAGCTCGCCTTTGAATTTGGCTCTTGTATCGCGAGTCAACTCGGTCCCATTGCATACTTGTTGGTAGAGGGAAACAAACTCATGGAATTCTTGCGGTTGTGGAGTAGGATCGCCTTTGCCGGCTGGAATCTTTCCGATGACTTGCAGCATGCGAGTGCCGACTGCAAACTTAAGACATTTCTCCGTGACACGATCATCTGGGACGAGCTCGACTTCGAAGGTATGCTCGCGCTTGTAATTTTCATAGGCAACCATGGAGAAACGGAGACACTCAAAAGCTTCTCTCTCTTCCGGCTGGAGATCTTCAACAAGTGTAGGACGATGTTTTGGTATGATGCCAGCCTTTCTCGCTTCCAACTTTGCGGTTCGTGTGGCAATTTCTTTTTCGGTTGAGAAAGAGAAGATGCGAATGAGATATGCGTTGGGGTTGTTTTCGCTCATAATCATGTTATGCAGACGGAGGGCGAAGGCGTCGATAGGGGTGTTAGCATTGGAAGCCACGAGGACGTGAACATCGGACAGTCCAGCTCTGACGAAAGGGCGCGAAATTTCGGTGCCGACATAGGTCTTTCCAGTGCCTGGTGGACCTTGAATGATCGCAGCGCCGGCTGGAGCATTCATACAGTGATCGATGGCTCGGGATTGACCTTCGTTGAGTGTATGCATGACCTCCTTTGGGTTAGAGACATAGGGAAGAATAGGCTGAAAGATGTTGAAGGTAGGAACGGCTTCAATGTTGTTTCCGATAATGAGCTGCTGAAAGGCAACAGCAAGGGCAGAGCCTTCGGAGAACCACTTATTCAGCAAAGCCATACCGACAACTTTGTCTTTGTAGACTTGTTCATTCTTGTCGAAAACGATCTTGACTCTCATCTTGGGACTGGCTCGAAGGGCTTTGAGATTCTTGACAAGATCGTCTTGTGCCGCGAGTGGTATGGGTTTGACCGTCAAGCTTGGATGTCCGAAACTATCGTTCTCCATGTCGTAGTAGTTTGTGACATGAAGAGGGATCAGAGTAGAGGGTAGACCAGGAATGGCTTCAGCGACAGTAGCATGGAGCTTACAGTCGTCATCGTCTTCGATTGCGGGATCGTGAATGTACAAGGAATCCCCAGCTTGCAGACGGATTTGATCTTCGACGGGAACATCCAGAACGCCGAGGAATGCACGATTTCCACCCTTGACCAGCTCGAGGATGTAGAGATCGTGTAACTTTTTCTCATATGTGGACAATTGAGAGAGAACATATTCTTGCTCTTGAAGGTCACCGATGCATTGCGTAACGAGTAGCTCGTCGTAGTTGAAGTACGAGTTTTTGGCTGCGACGACACAATGTTCGGGGCGTTGATTCTTTGGGATGAACTCTTCTTTCTGGATAACGAATCTTGATTTGCCGGGACAGATCCACTTGGTCATGGGATGGATGGATTGATCAACAGCAAGTTGTTGGTGTAGAGCGGCATAGTTCGCATACGTATGCTCCGAACCGCAGATGTGAAATACCAAAGGGAGATTTGCTTTGATATGATCTTTGAGACCTTGAACTTGCGGAGCTGAGTTGGGGACGAGCAAAGATTCACAGTTCAACTCGCTGAGCTCATATGCAATCAAGAGCGCGTAGCAGCGATTGAATGTGGGAGCCAGGTTTTGGAAATCTTCATGCTCAACCTGGGCGATTGTCATCTTATTGATGGCATCGGCACTGAAACGCATGACGACACGGTAGTCAGCGACTTCAGGGAAGGCCTTGGACGACTTTGCGATAATAACTTGGATGTGTGAGATGTGCTTGTCGCAGATGAAGGAAATTCTCACGTCCGAGTCGATTCCGTGAAGCTGTTCCCCTGTCTGGAGGTTGAGAATGGTGCATGGCCATGGAGTACCAGCTGCGTAGGCTTCGATGCCATGTATGGTCTCAATTTCAAGCACACCAAAATCTGCCTCGTCGAACACTGTGATCGGTCCCTGCTCTTCGACATTCGCATTCTTGTTTTCCCAGACCTTTGCTTCCTTTCCAGGTTTTTCTTCTCGAGGTGGCCTGGCTTTGAAGCCCTTTTGGGTAATTCTGGAGCTTGAGTGCTTGGGCTTTTCGGTGCGCTCCGTCTCACCGCTAGCAATGTCGAAAGCTTTTGTGGCGGCTTTCTTGGTGAAGGACGCGCCCTGTGCATTTTCTGGGATCACAAATTGAGTTCCAAATGCAGCCGAGAGGGATTTGAGATCGACTGATGGAAGGGGTTTGACAACTAGAGGAGAAGATTCAAGACCGGTGGCATCTTGGTCGGAGGGATTCTTCGAAGAGTCATTGTTAGAATCAGACACGATTGTCGAAGTGCTGCTTTCACTTACTCGGCCGCCGGACGAATTGTCGCCCCATTTGTCATTCCAGCCATCTCCAGAGTTTGGATCAGCCATGATGGAGTTTTTGACCGATGGTGGTGATGAAAATGATTGCGAAAGGTCGAATGAATAAGCCAACGGATGATGGATGATGGAGACGAAAGAGAGGTTTGGTCTCTGAGAGAGTCGGTGGAAGTGAAGAGTTGAAAAGAGTTCCAACTTGGGGAAAGTGAAAGATAAATGAAGTCGTGGACAGTAATTTTCTCCCAGCTTGGCGAGAAGATGAAGTCTGCCGCACTCGTCGTAAATTCACTGTTGACGTTCGCCAGTCTGAATAGGGATCCGGAAAAAGTGATTCATTAAGTGCTCATTGATGCTTGTGGAAATAGAGGTGAAGTTGAAAGCAAGGCTCGAAGACCTGCCTCGTGGAAACGTCTTACAGAGACAAAACCAAGCGGTCCACGAGAAATGAGTTCATTATGGGGTTGACTTGTAGGT